ACCTTTCAATAAAGCAGGAGATACAATCAGCACAACTGGAAGACAAATCTTTACACTAGAAATACTATAAGTAGATTGTTATAGAAATTCAATGCAGTTAAGGTAATAAATAGGGGCTACAAGGCAGAGGAGGCTTTTGAAGAGGGTCTTGGATTTCGATAGATGGATTGGAGGGAGGGGAAGGACACTTTTAGATGGCGGAAATGGCAAGGGCAAAGATGCAGAGGCAGCAATGATTGGCAAGGCTTATTCAAGTGATACTAAATAAGCTTACTTAGCTTCAAAGTATGAAAGGCCATCATAGCTTCCTCTTCATTCAACAAAAAAGTATTTTGAATATCTATTTTCTGATGATTCCACTTTGTATTTAAAGTTTATACCCCTAGTAAAGTAGATTATATCCATCTCTCCCTGACTTCTAAGTCTTATGCTGTCAACTAAACCACACTGAATAAATATATATATTATATATGTTATATAACACAAATTATAAAAGAGGCACAAAAAATGCATATAGAAACACCAGGGAGGGAGAAATACTTTCTTCTTTGAGGAGTCAGTAAAGGCTTCACAAGTGACATTTGAATTTAGTAATATCGTGTTTCCCCAAAAATAAGACAGTGTCTTATATTTGATTTTCCTCAAGAAGACACCCTAGGGCTTATTTTTAGGGGATGTGTTATTTTTTTTAACTACGGTAGAACAATCTACATTTATTCAAATATAGTTAAGTTGTCTTCTTCTGGAACATCATCATAGTAAAATGGCAGCCACAGCTTTCCTTCTTCCCCTCTGGGGACACACAATACCTAAAGTGGAGCGTCCGGCTCCTCACTTCACTGAGGAGACTTTCCCCTCAAAGCCTCAGCTTGCAGCACGCACAGGATGGCCGGGACCTGACAGGGGGAGCCCACCTTGTAGGTGGGGCTGCCCGCACCTTCTGGTCACCTCTGGGATAGTAGCTGTCATGATGGGGCAGATGAGAAGGGCTGCTCATCTTCTTTACCACTCTGTGATGAAATGCATGGGTTGTGTAGATACGCTGCATAGCCACACCTATCACTAGGTCCTATTTTTGGGGTAGGGCTTATACTGCGCAAATGCTTAGAAATCCTGCTAGGGCTTATTTTATCGGGAGGTCTTATTTTCGGGGAAACACGTTAGTATGATAGAAGAAATAATCCTTAACTTGGGAGTATTAACATCCAACCCTTCCCCTAATCCATATATCAAAAGAGCAGTAACTTTCAGTTGTTGATCTTTGTAATCTCCACAGGAATTATTAAAAAAATGTGAGATTCAATCAATATATATTCTAGCTCACTAACATGAACCTCAATACTTAAAATCTATTTTCTACCCCCTTTTTAAAAAAACTCACCTTCCTTTGAACTCATGGTTTCAGGATGGCAGATTTTATTTTGTGTGATAAAAGCTTTTGAGATCAAGATAATAATATGAGATGAAAGCAAGAGAGGGAGAAAAAGCGAAGTTGGAAAGTGGTGGAGAGGTGCTCTGAAACAGCTGGGGGATGCCAATGGATAAAAGAAAAAGGAATTTTTAGAAGTGTTACTGTGATAATAAATATTTAGATTCCTTCCATGGTTTTTAAGAAAGATAAGTAGGGAATGTTGGAAGTTCTTTTGGTTCCTGGACTGTTTCCTCATTAAGAATGAGCCATGTGAATCTCAGCTTCGTAAGCATGTAATAATAACATGGTAACATTATCACTCATCATGAAAGACAATTTATTAAAGTCTCACTCAGGCAACGTACAGTTGACCATCAGTATTGAAAATGCATCATGGAGTCCTTTAACAAAGCATGATCTCAGATTGTGAAAATAGAGCACACCAAAAGCCCCTCATAGTCAATAGTTATATAGTATTTAATACTACACACTTTGCTTTGAATATCATTTTATGTATGCCTTTAACCACTATTATATTGTTTGAAGTTGTGCCTTCTTTATTCTCCATGCTAAGTGTTCCATTATTTTACTTGTGATCTACATTTAAGTTTTTCTAGTTTATATACATAGTATTATGAATGGTGCTGCTATTAACGTCTTTGTATACATCTTTTGGTGGGCATGTGTATATAACTCTATTGAATATTTAGTTTGGAGTAGAATTATGAGTTATAAGGTATGCAAATATTTAGCTTTCATAAACATTTCCAGTTTTACAAAGGATTAGTACCAATTTACACTTCCACCAGCAGTATGTAAGAGTTTAAGTTGCTCTACATTTTTTTTTAAATGCTTGGTATTTTATGTTTTTCTTATTTTAGCTGTTATGGTGGATATGTTATCATATTACTTTAGTTTTTATTTCTCTAATGACTACTGAAGTTGATCATTTTTCTATATTTATCGTATATTCAAATATCTTCTTTTATGAAGTATATATTCAGTTTTTTTGCTCTTTCATCTACTATGATGTTTGCCTTTTTAAAATGGAATTTTAGAGTTTTTTTGATATATTTTTATATGAATTCTTTGTCACAAATATTTATTTTAAAAATATTTTCTCATCCTGTTTCTGTTCCTTTTTTTTTTGGAATCATTAGATTTTTATTTTTTAAATTTTTTAATTTTTTAAAATTTTATATCAAGATATTATGGGGATACAAACATTTTGGTTACATGTTATGATTTTGCCTCACCCAAGTCAGGATTAGAGGTGTGCCTTTCCCCATACAATGCTCACCAGGTTCATTAGTTATGAGTTTACCCACCTCATCCCTCAGCCCCCAGTGAATATTACTACCATGTGAGCACCTTGGTGTTGATCAGTCAATGCCAATTTGATGGTGAGTACATGTGGTGCTCATTCTTCCATTCTTGTGATACCTCACTTCAGAGGATGGGCTCAAGCTCTATCCAGGATAATATAAGAGGTGCTAGATCACCATCGTTTTTTGTCATTGAGTAGTATTTCATTATATACATATACCATATTTTATTAATCCACTCATGGATTGAAGGGCACTTGGGTTGTTTCCAAATCCTTGCAATAATGAATTATGCTGCCATAAACATATGTGTGCAGATGTCTTTATTATAGAATATCTTTTGTTCCTCTGGGTAGATGCCTAGTAGTGTTATTGCTGGATCAAATGGTATTTCTATTTTTAGCTCTTTGAATATCTCCAAATTATTTTCCACAGAGGTTGTACTAATTTGCAGTCCCACCAGCAGTGTAAAAGTGTTCCTGTCACTCTGTATCCTCGCCATTCTTAATGGTGTCATTTGATGAATAGAAGTTATTAATAGAGCTAGACCAATTCAGCATTATTTTCTTTATGATTATTCTTCTACATTTTCTTTTAAAAGATGTATTGTTTTATTTTCTACATCTAGATCTGCAATTAATCTGGAATTGATTTTTATGTATGGAATAAAGTAGGAGTAAGATTAAATTTTTATCCAGTTGACCTTCTATTGAGTTTTTAAATTCCACTTCTTTATTTTCTGTTACCTAATTGTTCTTATACCTAGATAAAGAAAATTGAGGCTTAACTTAAATAGCATGCCCAAGATCACACAGCTTTCATTCATCAGAGGTGTACCATGATCAGATTTATATTGACCAAATTGAGGAGGATGGATTGGGGTGCCAGTGATGCTGGTGAAACTGAAGGTAGGAAGACCCAATAGGAGATTCTTGCAGTTATTAAATTGAGACATAATGATAAAATGGCCCTGAGAATAGCTGGGAGGCAGTTAATAATCTGAGAGATATTTAGGAGGCCAACTTTATAAGTTTTGGTAGTTTAAAGAATTTTAGTGGTGCCATTAACCAGTTAGGCATTGCAAGAGAAGTCAACAATAGAATAAGTATATGCTGAATGGTTAAAAATATGCCAGATGCTGGGCTTAATTCTGGAATCACAATGATTAACAAGAGAGCCATGGTGGTTATTCTTAAGGTGCTTGCAGTTTTGTGGGAGCAGAAAAATATGCAATTGCAACAATGTGTGATAAGTGCTGTATGAAGGGAGGTATAGACTATTATCAGAGCACACAGGAGGTTTGCCTAACTCAGACTAGGGTTTAGGGATGACATCTCCATAAGATTGTGGGGGAAGGATAATAACAATCAAAATAGCAATCAAATCAAGAAAATGAGGAGCAAATGGAGAATGGAAAATAAGGAAGAAGGAATAGCATATGCAGAGGGGCAGGGAGGGAAAGTGAGAAGGAGAGAAAGAGTAGCAAAGATGGCAAGAAGAAGGCACACATTCTACCAGTGTAGAGACTCTTGAAGAAAGAGTAATTATTTTCTGACACTTAGGTGACATTCCTACAATTAAGTCTGACTGGTGTGACTTATGTCGCTTGCTATCCTGAATGAATCATTGTGGCTAGGGGGATGGTCATGCCCCACCCAGCAAAATATGGACTGAGAATGGGAGACAGGTGATTCTTTAAAATTAAAAGGTGCATTCTTTTTTAAATTTTTTTAAATTTCAGCATATTGTGGTGGTAAAAATGTTTAGGTCACATATATTGTCTTTGCCCCACCCCAGCCAGAGCTTCAAGTGTGTCCATCCCCCAGAGAGTGCGCACCACACCCATTAGGTGTGAAAGGTGTATTCTTTTACCAGAATAGGGATTCTGTGCAGACCATAATAATAGATATATACCTTGAGGACACTGAGAAAAAAGACAAAGAAGAGAAAGAAGAAAGAGAGAGAGAGAAGCAGGGAAGAGAAAAGAAAGGTGGAGAGGGAGAAAGGGAGAAATATTCATCATAAACAGCATCTATCATGACCTCTATGGGACCAAGAAACAGAGCTGCATATAACTAGAAAGCCTGCTGAAAAAACATGATATGAAAAGATTTACATGAACATCCTCTGTTGTAAAAATGAGAGTCTCACATTTGGCTTTACAAATGCAAATCTGTCATCATACTGAGTTCTGCAGTTGCATCTGTGAATATCAAAAACATATCTTTTACTCACATGTAAATATCACATGCCTTATAGGGACTTCATATTTTCCATAAGTGCAGGTGTCTGCTGAGGACTTTCTTCATAGCTTCTTTTACCTCCTTATTCCTCAGGCTATAGATGATGGGGTTCAGCATTGGAGCTATCACTCCATAAGACGGAGGGATTCATCTTGATGAAAAGCATCATAACCTTTTTTGGACCAATTAGCATATTTCCTTACAGCTAGAAACCCAGCAGAGAAGGTGCTGTTTAAGGTTTACCTGAGCATAAATATCCTATGTTGAAAAGAATGGGAGTCTCATATTTGGTTTTACAAACAGGTAAGCGCTCATGACAGGTTCTGCAATACCCAAATACAAAAGACAAGATCTTTTCTACTATTCGAGGATATCTCACACTCCTGCTCTTTCATGGTTTCAATAAATGAAAGTGTCTGCTGAGGATTTTCTTCACAGATTCTTTTACTTCCTTATTCCTCAGGCTATAGATGATGGGGTTCAACATTGGGGTTACCACTCCATAAGACAACCCAATGATCTCATCAGATGTTTTTGTGTCCTTTGACTTGGGCTTCATGTACATAAAAAGAGCTGAACCATAGAATAAGATGACCACAGTCAGGTGGGCTGAACAGGTAGAAAAGGCTTTCTTTCTTCCCTCAGCAGAATTAATTCTCAGGATGGAAGAGAGGATGAACATATAGGAGACAAAAATTAACAGTAGAGGAATCACCAGTAAAACAATACTTGCCACTGTCATGATGAACACATTCATGGAGATATCTGAACATATGAGTTTAAGAAGAGCCAGGATCTCACAGGTCAGATGATCGATGATGTTATTTCCACAGAAAGGCAACACCATTGTCAGGACTGTTTGAACTAGAGAATTCAGACAGCCTATGATCCAAGACCATGCAGCCATTTGCACATATAACACCCTGTTCATGATGATGGGATACCTCAGTGGGTTGCAGATGGCCACATACCGGTCATAGGCCATCACAGCCAGAAGGACACATTCAGTGCAGCCCAAGCCAAGGGAGACAACCATCTGCAGAGCACAACCAAAGAAGGAGATGGATTTTCTCTCAGACATAAATATGATGAGCATTGGAGGAATGAAAGAGGATGTATAACAGATATCCAAGAATGAGAGGTTTCCAAGGAAGAAGTACATGGGGGTATGGAGACGATAATCTAGGATGATGATGATAATGAGGAGGCTATTTCCCAGGAGGATTATCAGGTACATGATGAGGCAAAACATGAGCAGAGAAAGCTGGAGCTCTGGGTATCTGAAAAGTCCCACCAGAAAGAATTCTGTCACAGCAGAGTAATTCCCTGTTTCCATTTGTCTCTGTCACCTGTGGGGTTCACGTAAGGAAATGACTCAGGGAAATTTAAATTTACAAATTAGTCTTAAAAATCACTTTAACTTGCATTATTTTGTTTGATTTTTAGCACAGGAAGTCAAGAAGGGCATGGATGCAATTTTAATTTCGTTGAGGATGAAACTGGAGCACTTAGTGATTTATTACTTTGTAGGACCATGCAGTAGCAAAGACAAGACTACCAGTAACCCAAGAATTGTTCTGCAAAGTGTCAGGCCTGTAATAAGATAACAAGAAGGGACAACATAATTCCAAACATGGGTATGGTATTTAATTATTAGTGAATATTAAGAAATAAAAGCTGTTTTTGTCTTCTGGTTTTGAAAGAGATTAAAGAAAAGAGAGAGACAATAGTACCAGTATCTTCCTGTCTTAGAAAAGATTGCCTTTCTGAATGTTTCTGCTTGTCTCTATTCACATTGGTACATGGACTTGTTTCCTTAAAAGTAGGAGTTGAGGCAGTCTTGATTTGTTTGAGCACAATTGTTCTGAAGTAGAGAGAGGAAGAGGAGGAGGAGGATGCAAGCTAGGAGGAGGAAAGGAGCCTCTTCTTACTGCTACTAAAGAGTGCTAAACTTAGCACTTACATCTTGGGAGAGTGGGTGTTAAGGAGAAAGGAATGAAGGACAAGTGGCCCTCTTTCTTTCTGTTCAAAAAAGTCACAGATGAGGGAGGCTATTTCCCCAATATTTAGGGAAAATAAGAGAAAGTGGAAAAAGTAACCCTATTATCACTGAATCATTCCATAATAAAATTCTCAGTTTAATCTCCCCATCTTCTTTCATTCCATTTCCACATATCTCCACCTCATGACTGTGTCAAGAGAGGAGTTATTGGGAGATAGTTTGTGCCTTGATAATCTTCATCAGTCTTGCCTAAAACACCAGTCCAGTAGAACAATACAATCTGAGGCAGAACGGTGTGCTTGCTACATAATATGGCTTCAAGAAAAGTCCTTTCCAATCAGACTGCTACTCCTAAATCCCTCTAATATAGAAATTTTTCTGACCCTTCCTTCCCATGCTTTGCAATAGCCATGCTGAACTCCTTTCAGTGTAGTGTTTACACTGTTTTCTTCTTTTTGCCTTTGCACACACTCTTATCTTAAACTGGAAGAGACCCTTCACATCTAGTTATTACCTTTTTCTAGAAAACCTTCCTGAATTTCTAGTTTGGATAGGATGTCCATCTTAATGTAGCTTCTGTACTTCTGTGCTTACCTCTTTCATAGAATCCTTCATTTATTCATTTATTCAACTCTTAGCATGGCAGATACTACAGTGGTTACCAGAGATTCAATTGGGAGAAAGATTTATGCTGACCTTCAAAATTGGTATTGGATACAGATTATTTAGGAGAGAGTTACTTTATTTTCAAGAAACAAATAATTTCTGTGCTATGGAAAGTGTTCAATGTCCAAAAAAATTTTATGTACTTTGTAAACCACTTTATCAAAACAAAAATAATGTTTACACCCCAAATTATCAAAGATGGAATAAAGCTATGGTTTAATCTCATTTGAATATATATATAAGAATATAAAAATTAAAATAAATATACTCAAACCAAATCCAACTGTATATTAAAGTAATATCACCAATGCAAAGCATTCCAAACTAATGTTTGGAAATGTATAAGCATAATGTACCATATAGGTAAATAGAAAAGGAAACCTCTATGGTCATCCAGCTAGAAAGAAAAAAAATATTTGATAGCATGCAACATTTATTCTTGATTTTAAAAAAAACCTTTTAGTTTTCTAGACATAGGACAACTTGATTTTATTTATTTATTTATTTATTTTTTTATTTATTTTTTTTTTTTGAGACAGAGTCTCACTTTGTTGCCTAGGCTAGAGTGAGTGCCGTGGCGTCAGCCTGGCTCACAGCAACCTCAATCTCCGGGGCTCAGCGATCCTACTGCCTACAGGCATACGCCACCATGCCCGGCTAATTTTTTGTATATATATTTTTAGTTGGTCAATTAATTTCTTTCTATTTTTGGTAGAGACGGGGTCTCGCTCAGGCTGGTTACGAACTCCTGACCTTGAGCAATCCGCCCGCCTCGGCCTCCCAAAGTGCTAGGATTACAGGCGTGAGCCACCACGCCCGGCCGGACAACTTGATTTTAAATGGTGAAACTCTGGAGATAGTTCCCTAAAAGTCAGCCAAAGATTGCTGTCATCATCATCATCATTATTGAACATTATTATTTTTTAAAGATATATCAAATAGAAAGTTGAAATTTTTTTCCCTCTAGGATGGGTATATGGTTATGGGACATGTCATAATATGTGAGAAAAATGTACTTTCATTTGTTATGCCGCTGAAAACTATGATCTTGGAGAAGAATTACAGACAAGAAAAAAATGCTCATGATATAATATTATGTGATGAAAGCAAGCTTCAAGGCAATATAAATGATCATAATTTTGTATATATGTAGTCAGAAGAAAGCATATGAAAATATTAGCTGTAGTTTTCTTTGATATATTTTGTTTTGATGTATTTTAAGTTTTCTCAATCTTTTTCATATTTTCCAAATTTTATTAAATGAAACTGTGGTTTCTGATTGTAAAAATAGAAAAAAACTTTAACTGTTTTTAAAATTGGGGAAATGCCCTTGGGCAATAGCTGGCATCTTTATAATGTTTCTAATGATTAGAAGATGACCAAAAATAGCAAAACACCCAGACAATTTTTGGTACTAGATTTTTTTAAACCTCTAGAAGGGAAAAGAACAATCAATCAACAGGAAATTGGACAAACATTTTCTGTTGCTTTATTACATGGACTAACCGTTCAATCTCACCTGTGTATCAATCCTGAGCAGACATCCTGACACAGCTGCAATTCTTGCAAAAGGATTCTAGAGCCCACCTTTTAGAATGTGACCAAGGTTAGCAGGACAGATGAGATGCACTAAAAAACACCAAGGGTATCACATAGTGAAAAGAAAGACAGATAAGATACATGGTGGATAGGAGAGGCCACGATGAAACATCTGGGCCTTCTTTCTCTTTGTCAAGAAAAAGATAAAATTTCAATTTCTTGGTTCTCTGAGTTTTGTCCATCTCCCCAAGGGTCTTGTCCTTAGATTATTTTTCAACATTGGGTACCATCTATGGAAGAAAATAAAACTCCTAGACTCATGACTCATGTGTATCCACCTATTTTCTACTTGTATTTGTCAACAGAAGTATATAGTAGTTTGTCTGTAAAGCATATAAATTTAGCTGGCATTTGATATTTTGCCTGAGGAGCCTCTTGAATCAGGCTGTGCCATGGCCATGCTGGAAAGTTTCCTCAGGAGAAAATTCTCAGCAGTACATATTGCATTCTAACTCCAAAGGTGCCTCGTTTCCCCTATTTATGAAGCAACTTTGTTTTTCCCAACATGAGACATTGCCCAGTGCTTGTGTGAATAGATGAGAACTTGTGAAGGAACCAATAATGGAACCAGTATTGAGTAAGACAGGTCAAGTGAAGCCAAAGGCAGGAAGCAAAGGCTGCTTCTCCTTTTTCTGCATGGTCTTGAAAATTATCCTGAGTTTTCTCACTCACATTTCTGTGTGGAAGCCAAGCATAATTTCTGTTTCTGGGAGCACAGCAAAAGCTTTTAGATCCTTTTTCCCCCCAGCATATTAAGGGGGTACAAATGTTTAGGTTACATATATTTGCCTTTGCCCCACTTGAGTCAGAGCTTCAAGTGTGTCCATCCCCCAGATGGTGCACACAACACCTATTAGGTGTGAATGTACCCATTCCCTCCTTCCCCCCCTTCCATCTGCCTGACACCCGTGAATGTTATTTCTATATATGTGCACTAGATGTTGATCAGTTAAAAGCAATTTGCTGGTGAGTACATGTGGTGCTTATATTTTCCATTCTTGGGATCCTTCACTTAGTAGAATGGGCTCCAGCTCTATCCAGGATAATACAAGAGGCGCTATATCACCATTGTTTCTTGTGGCTGAGTAGAACTCCATGGTATACATATATGACATTTTATTAATTCACTCGCTCTTGTCTAGTGGGAACTTCTATCTGAGCAGCAGGCTCTTTGCTGGGTTTGATTGATCCACCTCTTCCTGCATGCTCTAACCATCTCTAAGGCTGTGTGTGGAAGTCTTCTGTGCCCTCGGACTCTTTTTCCACTTTGTCCTGACTCCTGATAAGGTTTATTCATACAAAAGTGCTGTCTATGTCTTAATGGTAAGAGCCAGTGGACTTAGAGTGGACATAGTCTTGGCTCTGTGGCTTAATAGCTGTATAGATGTTGGGCAAGACACTTAACCTCTCCAAGCATGATGTGTCATCTGTAATGTTGGCATAATGCATCTTACAGAATTGTTATGAAGGTTACCATAACATATGTAGTGGTTCTTGGCACAGAGTGAGTGCACAAAACATGTTAATCTGGACTGTCAGGTATTATTTTTTATCTTAAGGAAAAGATGAATAATTTAAAGTGAGGTTCATAGCTATCTAAGACATTTCCTTGATTTAATAATTCTTTCATCCATATTTATTTTTCTTTGTTTTATCTAGAACTTTTCAAATAAAAAATAAAGACAAAGGAAAAAAATAACAATTATATACCGTGTGGGATCCTGAAGAGGATCCTGGAACAGAAAAAGGTATTAGACGAAAATTGGTGAAATCTGAGTAAGATGTATGGTATAATTAATAAAAATGTACCAATGTTAATTTCTTACTTTTGGTAATTGTACTACGGGTGTATAAGATGTTAACATGAGAAGTGAGGTAAAGAAATTCTTTGAACTAATTTTGTAACTTTTCTGGAAGTTTAAAATCAGTTCAAAATGAAAAGTTTTAAAAATATAAAAAGCAAGTTATTCAGAATTTCTTTCCATTTCTCCCTTTCTTTCTGAAATAAATCTTGACAACTCTGTCTCAATTATTCCTATTCAGTTCTTAGTGAAGGATTCTTACCTTCT